CTATGTAGTTCAGTATAGGCTAAAAATGTAGGCTATCTTATTTTATCTGAATATGTGTACTTCCCTATATAGGCAAGAGGGAATTGTTAAATGTTATTATAGACTAGAACATATCAGAACTTTTTAAAAAAAATTATCAACAGGCTAACATTTTTTGTATTTGTTGCCAGATTTCCTTTTTATGGATGTCAGAAATCACGTATTTGGTGGTAATGTAATTATTCTGAATAATTAGAAATCAAGCTACATTGCAATAAATGTGGCACATTTTGATTTTAATATTTAGACATCTCAGTCTAATAAGTGCAGTCGGCCTTACCAATTAGACAAAGTCAAAGTGAACTACTGTCATTCAGACCATGGAACAAGAAGTGCACAGCAGAATGCTTGGTGCAAGGCTCTGCAATTCATGGTGGCCTGGTAGCCTACTTTAAACAAACTATATTTCAGTGACAGCAGTTTAATTGAGGATGGTCAACTGTTTCAATTTGATGTTACATTACAGTGCAACTTCAAAAATGGGATGTTTTCCCAGTGGACATACTGGTATTAGTAAACGAGTAAGAAATGAGAGAGCAGGACGACACAGGGGCATGATTTTATTAAAAAATAATAAAAAACAGTAATAGCCTGTGACAGCAATATAAAAAGTCTTATTGATGATGTTCAGATGTTTGAACTTGCAATGCTACACTACAGTACACTTTCAAAAACATTCACATATCGGTTACAGTGAATGAGTTTGCATGAGAAGAGGTTAAAAAAGCTAAAGAAGCATGAACAGTTTGCCAATTTGATTTAAACAGAAAAACCCTGACTGCTTGCTTTTATATGCTTGTAAAACTCATTTCATTTTGAATAAGTTTGTTTGGGCAGATGCTGTCCAAATCAAAACACCAGTGAAAGTTATGGGACTCGTTGAAACCCACGTTTCCTGCTTCACTTTGAAATTTATTATGAACTCAACACTTCAGGCTGCTTGATTGCAGAACTTGTCAACACTGGGCGGCGCTGTAGGCAAGTTGTGCCTTTTGGTGAGGGAGGCACAAACCCTTGGAGGGAGAGAGAGAGAGAGAGAGGGAGAGATATGGAGATAGAGGGAGGAGGAGGATGGTGAGGAGGGGCGGGGTGGGAGTTCCTCCTCTCTCTCTCTCTCCCTCTCTCTCGCAGTGCGCTGAACCTCCAGGTGTGTGCGCTCCTCTCTCCTCCCCTGCGCGCACAGGACTGATCTCTGATGCCCAAACCGAGGCGATAACTCCCAGCGCCAGTCTGCTGCATAGACTCTGCTGCGAGGATGTTGCAGTGATAGACGGCGGAGCATCATCATCGTCCCCCCATCAGCTGCTTCCTCAGCCGGCATCGTCAGCTGTTGCTCCACAGCAGAGAGAGTGGAAGTCTCGGAAGCTGCAGAAAGAAAAGAAAAAAGGGACAAACTATGCGACTGATTCCCGATCGGTAACCGTCTTTCCAGCCTGAAAAAGTCGAACGGGGAGCGGATGCGAGCAGAGGTCGCCGACGAGCCTCTGAGTATTTTCTGCCCTTTGTCGGTGCCGGAGGAGCCGTGCCCATGGAGAAAGCCACTCCGCCGCCCCAGCCCCAGCTCCAGCTGTCGATAGCCAAGACGGAAAGTCCGGCGGAGGACATCTCCGGGCTCACGGACGAGGAGCTGCTCAAGTGGTCCAAGGAGGAGCTGGTGCGGCGGCTGAGGCGCTCCGAGGCCGACAAGATGAGCGTGATCCTGGACCACGGCAATCTCATCCGGGAGGTCAACCGCAGCCTCCAGCTGCACCTGAACGAGATCCGGGGGCTGAAGGTGAGGTGCACGGCGGAGGGGGCGCGCACTGGCTGAGGGATGAGATCATAGGTTTGGAGCGCACCTGAGAGCGCGCATAGCGGGAGGCTTGTCCATGTACAGAGAGAGCATCGGCAAATGAGATGAGCACGAGATAAGGAGAGGTGGTGTCATTGAAGTTCGTTGAGCCATTGTGTAGGCCTGCATGAGGATCTGATGTGAATGAATTGAGAGCCTCTGTGCACATAGGCTTTTATGCTTAATCTCAACCTAGAGTTATAGCTTTCATCTAACTTTTGCTGTTGAGGTGGGATCATTAAGGCTTTTGAAAAACCAAGAGCAGTGCATTTTTGTGACCAAAACCAATAACAGAATACAGCCCATCTCTGCAAATCAGCTTACAAAACACAGGGCAAGTAAATGTGCAGCAGGCCAGAGAGGTAAAAATCCCCCTAATACTGAAAAGGAGGGCATCTCTCTGTTCACATGCCAGGCCTGAGATCTGGAGTCCAGACCTCTCTCTGTCTGTCTTCCACACACACACATTCTGCACATGAATCTACAACATGTGCAGGGGTGATTTGCCTTTAGGGCAACGTGGCATTTGAAAATTCTCCTTTTCAGCAAACTTCCATTCTTTTTCTGCACCACTAATAAAAGGAATATGGCACAGTGTCCACAATGTTTACAGTTAAAGCTGAAACACAGCTGGAGGTGGCCTGAAATGAAGCACATAGGGATCATTCGCCTTTTCTTGGAGACCTTGTCACCTCTCCGCCCATCCAGGCTGCCTAATTACACAGAAAGGGCCAGAGGGTATAAAAGGAAGAGAGGGAGAAGGGTAGGGATGGAAAGGGGGGGCATGGGAGAGTTAAATTATTGCAGGATGACAGATGGAGCAGAGGAAGGTATATTTAAGTAAATGTAGCTCAAAATGTTCAAGGCGTATGATTTCTCTGGCCTAACCCACTCTGATTTCTGTGTGTGGTCTCTCCATCTCCAACAGAGCATTCTAATCCACATTATACTTCACATTGAATGGTACAGTGAGTCAATGCTTTTATGGGAAAGACAGAGAGGATTAGCGTTTCATTTCATCATGATTGCATACAGCGTTTGACTGATATCTAAAAGAGCAGTAAAGTGGATTGAAACGGGACAATGGCTTCAGCGATTTACAATTAATGGAAGAAAAAGTATTTTGTTGTGTATGAAAGGGCACATTTGTGTTCCTCCTGTGCTGATTAGCACTACCTGGATTTATGATGCTCCCTAATGCTTACAGGCTGAATGCCTCATCTCTCCCTCTTGTGTTTTGCCTTCTCCTCCTCTCAGGACATTAACCAGAAGCTGCAGGAGGACAACCGTGAGCTGCGGGATTTGTGCTGCTTCCTAGACGATGACCGCCAGAAAGGGAAGCGTGTCTCCAGGGAGTGGCAGCGCCTGGGACGATACAGCGCCAGCATAATGCGCAAAGAGGTGACTCTATACCTCCAAAAACTCAAGGAGCTGGAGCTGCGACAGGAGGAGGTAATCCGCGAGAACATGGAGCTGAAGGAGCTGTGTCTGTTGCTGGACGAGGAGAAGGGAGTGGTGGGTGGAGGTGGTGGCGGCGGAGGTGGAAGTGGAAGTGTAGGGGTTGTAGGGATGGGAGGGTGCCGCAACTCAATAGACAGCCAGAATAGTTTGCTGCTGGTGCCTGGACAGGGGCTCCTGATGAGAGATGTAGGGGACGGGAGTAGCACCTCCAGTGCTGGCAGTGCCGACAGCTCCGATCACCCTCATCATAAGCAGCCTCACCTGGCTGCGGGAGTGGGTGGAGTTGGCAGTGCTGGGGAAAAAGGAAGCCCTGAGCTTGTACATAAACCCAGATGTAGCAGCATCAGTGGAATAGGAGGGGACAGGGATGTGTCCAGCCCTGTCCACCCAACTGGGCGTCACCGGAGTACAAGCCTGGAGTACCCGTACACCCTGCCCCAGCTCAGCCGACCCCGCTGCGGCTCCATTTCCGTGCCTGACCACAGTCGATCCATACGAGGCCTCAGCCCGGAAAAATACGGGAGGAACGTGGGGCGCCGCAGTCCAGAGCAGCACCCCAAGCACCACAGCTCCGATCTCCTCCTGGGACAGAGGCAGCACTTCCTGGGCCAGGGGGGCAGCGGAGAGATCTTCCAGAGGCACCACAGGAGCAGCATCAGCAGCACAGGCTGTGGGAGTCCCGAGCCCCGACAGGCACATTTAGGGTCCGGTGAGCATCACGAAAAGGGCTGCGTGGTCCCAGGGGGCAGCCCTGAAATTCACAGGCACCAGTACAGTATGAGCCCTGACCATGTGAAGTTCAGCAGCCCTGTGAGAGATGGGCAGAGGAGGCCGGCTGGAGACGAGCTGTCGCCACATCACCGAAGCATCTACAATGGCATGAATGGTAGGTGTGTGTGGGTGTGTGTGGGTGTGTGTGAGAGAGATCACCCTGTGTTTTGAGCTTCTAATTAACCCTAATCCTCTAAAAAACCAAAAATATTGCACACAACCCCTCAAATGCAGCAAATGTTGCAGCATCTTTTACACAGACATACAACTTCACATAGACTAAACCCACACAGACACACAAACTAGAGTACAAAAAGTTCACACAAAAGCCCCTCAAGGTTTTGCTACTTTAATGTGTTCTCTCTGTAAAAATATACAGTAGGATAGAGACATTATTTTTTTCGTCAGAAATACACTTATGCTCTATTTCTTTTTTAATTGAGAAATAAATGATACTCCTCCTTGTTCCGACTGCTGCAAAATTTACAGCATTATTGATTTTTTTGGAGTCTCAAGAGGAATGTGGGTTGGCTCAGTGGTTGAGAGAGAGAAAATAAGGTTTTCAGAAATATTTATTTTATGATCTCGTGTTCTGTGTCAAAGTTGAACAGATTCAGCTCAAATTATCAAATGGTCCAGATTTTAGCTGTTGGTGTCACACAACATTGGGCAGACATGAACCCGAACACACACACACACACAGACACATTGACATGACAGTGAATTACCTCCAGACCTCTTGCTGCTGCCTTGCCGTCTTACTGAGTGGGAATTAAGGTCGTCAGAGAGAAGGAGGAATATCAAAGTACCAACTTGGCTACTGTTTAAATACCCCACAGAGGCTGATAATGATTTCTGGGGGGAAAAGTGCTGAGTGGCAAAGAGTCGGGGGAAGCTAAAGGACAAATTCCTCAAGGTGAAATATCAGCCTGACTTTGCAATATGAGGAAGAAATCACAGGAGAAACAAACAATGTACACAGAGCGCAGTAAACCCAACACTTACAGGAAGGATTGCAGTTACTGTCCCTCTCATGATGCTACGTCCGTGCAGTTATCTGAGAAGTGGTGGTATATTTAATGAATGATCTGTCATTTAGGCCTATTGATTGTCTTGATTCAAAGACGTGAAAGAGAGAGGGAGCTGTCTTCGCTAACATTAAATGGGACAGTCCACAGATTTTACACATGAAGATCTGTTAATGACAGGTAGTACTACCAAGCGTGTAAAAACACGTGTATGATGTCAGAGCAAACTCAAGCTTGAGTTGAGAGATTTAAAAAAAGTTTTTAGCAGAAAGCTTTGTTACAAACTGCATTTATGGAATTGGGTTCATATACTAATGTAATTAAATATGGGTTTTTACCAAAAAGGGAGGTTCTAAGAGACTATTAAGTTGCATTATGGGAAATTGCAAGTTTTGGGACTGGATCCATGTTGGAGACTAACACAGGACCCACATGTATGAGTTGTAGACTTTAACATAAACGCTGCTCATTCACTGGGACATCATGCGTTGCCTAATTGTATTGTGCTACAGTTGCATTGCGTTGCTTGTGCTGCATACAGTAAAAGTTGATCATAACAGCACGGCCACAAAACCTTTGCTTCCTGTGGTGAGGCAAATCGCAGCATGGCTTTGTGTGCAGACTAACTTTGGGGAACTTTAACCCGCAATTCACACAACTCAACTTTTCAGTGGAGGCACCAGCCAATCAAATCACACTTCACAATGCAAAAGTGGAGGCAGCTGGTGAACCTGGTGTGTGTTCATCTGGTTCTTTAACATTGTAAATGATTGTTAGCAGATAGCCATCAATGTTACATGTCCTGAGCATGAAACTGTGATTTTGGCCGTTAGGATGATGGTGCCAGCACCAAGCGTCGTGCACGTCCACTCTCAAGTATTAACGCAGCGTGGATCCTTTATTAAAGTTGGGTTATCTCTGCTGCTTCATTTATGACCCCTTACTTTGAGAACTGATTTTTGGGAGTTCACAATTATGAAATGAAAACAACAAATCGCCATAGTACATCTTTAAAATCTTACAGTAGCCTCAGAAATAACAGATTAGCGGGAAACATGCTCTCTGTAGCCATTTTGCAATCTCTACGGATTGCACTGGATTATTATAAGGACACACAACTTTGATTTGCATCATCTTTGTGTTTGTTTCTATTTTAGCTCCCTGTGTAGCTCTGTAAGAGATTTCAGTCTTGATGTAACCTGAAACCCATATGATGTCTGCAAAAGGGCACAAACACATTAATGCCTCACAAATCCTTAATTGGAAAATGTTGCAAGTTCACCGGACACTTGCTGCCCCTCGAGCCTGGCGTGCCAACTGTTGCATAACTGTGAAATGCACGCACCAATTTTACCAGGTCCATAAAGACTTAATCAAACGTGTGTGTGTGTTATTGCTATCATATCATGTCCCCACAGGGCCACTGTGACTCTATTGACCTGAAAACTTCAAGTTCCACAACATCATGAAACATTTAAAGTTAGATCAAAATATGCAATCAACACTTGGGCAGATGTTGGAGATTTCCTTTAGTGGAGCTGATAGTGAATTAATTTCCTCAGACTTTACCGGATAAAATACCAGCTGCCTGTTGCTGATGGATTAAAATCACTAAAACATAACTCAAACTAACTGAGGTGCAGGCGATAGAGAAAATAAAGGATGAGGAAGATGAAAAGATGTAGAGAAAGACATCTGTGAGATAAGAGAAGTGACAAGAACAGCTTTGTGGTCATGTCTGTGTGTGTCATCCCCTGACCCATCCTTTCTGCCATGTCCTTTTTTGGATGAAGAGGGAATTTAATTCCTGTGACGATGTAGTACACTGCACTTGCTTGGATTATCCCCTAAGCCCTTTGCACAGTATTATTTCATTTTTTTATATGCTTGTGTGTGTGTGTGTATAAGTGTGTGTGATTTGGGTTGGTGCGCTTTAGTGTCCCCATCCAGGGACGCTGTTGGGTTTTTATTCAGACAAATGAATGTCTCTTGTTCATGTGACACCCAACAGTGCTGAAGCTAAGGCCATTTAAATTTCTGCCAAAATCCAAAATGAAAGCAAAACAAGACGGTGACCTCTGCAGCCTTTAAATACAATCTGCTGTTGGGTCTGGTAAGCTTATGACACATGTTCTGTTATATCTGCAGGCAGGAGACAGGAATACCCCTAAAAGCACTTTTACTCTTGTTGTGTAAAACATGACATGAGCTGAATATGATATTGAGTTCATCTACTAGAAGCAAAAAAAAAAGCCAGAATACGCTTATCCTCTCCTCTCAACAATGCGTGATCCATAAAATCCTTTAGTGCAGTAACTCAAAAGGCATTTGGAGAATACAAGGAGTACTAAGTGCATAAATTAGAGATAAAATGACTGCATGTCACTTGGAGTTTCAGACTAACAATAAATGTTGTCTCGCCTGTATAAAATAATGGGCCTGTAAAGCCTGGTAATACTGTGTATGAGATGTTGAGCTGTATAAACGATGCCACCTTCTTCTCAGCAATGACCCAGATCAAAAACATCAGCCTTTCCGTGGGACAGATTCCCTCTCAGTGACAGATAATAAGCTATTACACTGCAGTCTCCTGACCCAGACTGGAGGGGTGATTTTTCACTAAGCCTATAGGAGCGCTGCACTGCAGAGGGTCCTTTTTCAAAAAGAGACAGTTAATCATGTTTTCTGCTTTAGCAATCACAAGTTCTGCATATTAGCTTAAGCTGCTCAGATGAACGGGAGGAGAAAGAGAGGCCACTTGAGGGAAAAAAATACTGTAGTGTTTGGGAGAACGTCTGCCCTTGTGATGCCAATGAATGGGACACACACACACACACGCACACGCACAC